CCGATAAGTATGTTCACCCTTTCTTCAGAACCATTTCCATCCAGTGATAAGGCCGCTTTAGATGAATACGAGTTAAGGCCTCGAATAGCCACTCCATTCGCCAAGTCTGCTTATTTTACACACAAAATTGGGAGCACTGAAGGTCTTGAGATTGTACTGTTAGTTACAGAATTTGATGTATTTAGACCTGTTAGAATCATAACATTGTGAGTGTAAACGATGACTTCTAGTTTTTTTTTTTTTTTTTTTTTTAAACGTACCAATTGAATGTGAAATACTTTTGATATTGCCAAAAGTAATCCTTTTGTTAGCATTCCAATTTTCAAGATGGTCGTTTGCACATAAAGAAAAGAACTTTTTCAATTTAATCAAAATGAGAATCTCTTTTTGTAAACTAAATCAATTTTTGCTTTCCTAAACAGAAAGAAAGAAAAAAATATACCATTGGAAATACAGTCTAAAGCACTATAATTCGATTTAAATTCTGAACAGGAATATAAAAAAAAATAAATACATTCATGAACATCAAATCACTTCCTGGCCAAATCCTCAAAATTTACAATATACTGGCTGTATCACTTCATTTAGGCACCCAAAAGTAATGGTATTATGAACGTCCAGCAATCTTGAAGAATCACTATCTTAAATTGCATATTGCAAGCCTAAAATTCCATGGCGCCCTTTGATCCTTCGGTCTCAATCTTGAAGCTGTTAACATGAAGCTTAATATGAGATGAAATCAGTGCCCCAAAAGCAAGATGAAATCTAAATTCTGTTGCAATGTATGTCGCAGAAATCTACAGTTCTGATGTTTGGGAAGATTTATAATGATCACGATTCATGGGCATAATATACCCAATGAAATGCAAGAATAAAAAAATGAAAAAAGAAAAAATAACAGAATCAAAGCCAAAAGTTTTAATGCAAGAATGAATACCATGACCTTGCGGAGCACCAGCTTCTTGCCATCATTTCCTTTAATTCAGCAGATGAAGGAAGACGAGTTTCTAGACTGAAAGAAAAATGAAAGTTTAGCAACTAATTTGGAACACAAAAAAGTTCGACCAACCAAAATGACACAACACTATAAGTTGGATCATCAACAGTGTTTTGTTTGAACCCGTCTGAGTCACTATATGAATACATGTGGTCAAAATAAACCGACTCCAATCTTCTTCCCTTTAAAGGTTCTCCAAGTTTTTTTCTTCTTCTTCCACTTCAACACTGCCATTTTCTCACATTTCCACTTTCTATATCTGTAACGATTACTTAACCAATTTGAGTAATCTTTTCCCTGTTTGAACTCAACAAAATCAGCTAAATCGTCAAAATCAGACATTTTCTCTCCTTCCTTTAACAAGCACTTAAAAAAAATCTCCCCATTGCTTGTTTCTTCTGTTTCCTCTTCCAACCCTATGGCACCCTCCATATCCAGTACACTTAAGTCTCCTGTTTCTTTACTTTTGTCTCCTGTTTCTTTACTTTTGTTCGCCAGAGAATCCCTAATGAAAAAAAAAAGAACAATTGATAAGTAAATAAATAAGAAAAATAAAAAGCAAAAATTTCCTCTCCTACATAAAGAATACAGTTTTACAGAAGCAATTCGTAATTCAAGTTTGAATCGACATGACGAAAGCAGATAATACTATTTTAGCACAACTCCTCTCACAGCTTTCTATCACATATTGTAACGACCCAAGCCTCGTGCCCAAGCCGTTAAGAAAAAAAGGCTGCGAAAGGCTTCAAGGGTTGACACTGGTTCCGCAAAGAAATGCAAGCATTATCCAGAATGATTGTACGTAAAGCATTTGTACGAGACAAAGTCCGGTGTCAAATCCAAAGACTCAACCCTGAATAGGTGGTGAAAAATACCAAGCTAGAGTATGGTAGGGCCAAAGGGAATTTCCGGTGGATTCAAGACCACTCCTATCGAGTCAATGTTCAAAATGAAAATTATAAGAATTGGATAGAAAGATATAAGGCCATTGTTCTGAGTGAAATTGAACCAAAGGCCCTCTTTCTGTAGGACTCGCTTCTTATAAAGTGTTCCCACACTTTCAAAGAATTGCGCGGCTAATCTCTGAATAAGGATTGAAGGTAAGATATTTCTAACAGAGCGATAGGTGTTTTTTTTTTTTTTGGAAGGTGGGTTTGGGCATCAATCCGTACTACATAGAAAGAAGTGAGGATTAGTCACAAATTCACAATTGACAGTACTGGCTTGTTTAGTAGGGTGGATGGACAATACCAGATAGAATTAAAAAATAAAAGGATGTTACTATCCAGTATCTTGCAATACTACGTAGGAAGTATTATTAGTTTTGGGCAATCAACATGGAGAACTTAAGACCATGCAAATGCAGGTTCATCATGGTACAAGCTGAAAAGAACACTTTGGGGGTACAATGGTACATCCATCAGCAATCAACATACTGCATGCATAGCATTAATTACCTCAAATACAGGGTCCTTATCTTCTGAAATTTTGATGCAACCACTAGGCTAGAGTTTTGGTCCACTACAGTCTGCATCATTTACAAAAAGTTATACATGCTGAAACAGAGAACCCTTTATGAAAATTGAGTGGAGGTGGAAAAAGGAGAACATTACCTCCTGGAATTTGACATGGAGCAATCCAGATGAAAAGGATTCTTTATTGGAATCAACCACTGACCGAAATGCATCTAAATTACCCTCTTCGAAAACAAATAAATTCAATATGGCAATAATTGTCAACAAGCAGCCCTTAACTAAACAATCAAGCCCACTAACAAAGCTCAATGACATCAAGCCAGAAAAATGCAAAAACATCATTTTAGAAACTGTATGCCTTGTAACATGGCTCGACATCTCATCGAATAGAACTTGTTGGGTGGGTAACTGAATGCCAAAGTTTCTGAAAGTAGTGATTATACCCATAATGAAATCATACTCCTTACATGAAGAAAAATCTTTCAAGGTTTTCACGCAACATAAATCATCACCTTGTCTGAGACACCGTACGGCTTGCCTCAATGAAGTGCTCATTAACTTCAATAAGGAAGCAAGAAGATATACATCCTGCAGACTTGTACCCTCAATTGAATGTATTGCAGTGTCATTGAAGCTATCAGAAGCTCTGAGAATTAAGCCACTTAAGATAGCTAAAATATCATCTTGACATGGTACCTCAAAAACAGTTTGCATCTCCTTCACAAATTTCATGGCAGAACTTACAAGATCAGATTTCATTTTAATGAAAATGCCATGCAATTTTGGAAGCAATGAATCATCTAATCTGGATATTAGAGTATCGATCTTCTGCTTTGTCTCAGGCGATATATAGGATTCAAACAACGGATGAAGTCTTTCATCCGATATATTTGATTTATCACAACCTACACCACTTTGAGAATAGCCATCTATTTCCAAACTAGACATGTGCTTCATGTACAAAATGACTGATTTTTCAAAAACTGACAGGAAGCAGTTCAAAAGTTTACGATCTGGTTTCGGGCTCTCTATGTCTATCATATAATTAGCTTCAGAAACCAAAGAGATCAGATGTGCTTGCATATATTTTGGAGCAGAAACCATAATAGGATCGAGAAGTAATGATACTGCAGTAACCAGACTTATTTCTGGAGCTCTGTACGAATATCTAAGTTCCTTAGCATGTATGACAAATAATCGGACGAGAAAATCTTCAAATGCAAGCTCATCAGAAAATGATTTTAAAAAATGAGTACAAATCACTTCCATTACAAACCCAATACCCCCCTGGGTAGAATGACAAATAAGCAGCTTTTCTCCAATAGAAGCAACAGAATCAATCAGCTTAAAGTACCCTCTTATTTGCTCATGAATCAAAAGCTCGTCTAGAAATACCTGTGCAAATGAAATTTACAAATTACATGGGGAGAACTCCAGAAATATATATATAAGAGAACTCCAGAAATATTCTTAACGATATAACTAAAATTACAAATATCAAGAAACAAATGTGATATGCTTAAAAATATGAAAACAAGGGCCAAGGCTACCAAACATTTGAAATCACACAGGAAAGCATAGAGAAGAAGTTCTCAAGCTTGTGTAACTATCTTTGAGAAGATAATTCTGTGAAAGAAACTGCAGCTTCCTGTAACAGAAAGGTAGAAATACAACTACATAATCATCACAGAGAACCCAATGTGAATATACAAAATCCTTCCTGGAGATAGACAAAAGTTTTTCTCTCTTTCTTTTCAACATCCAATAAAAGCCTCAAAGTTCTTCCTATCCATACTGATTAATTAGGATGATTAATTAGATGCTTCAGGAGGGAGGGAGGAGCAGAGAGAGAGAGAGAGTGAGTGAAAAGGCCACAAGCATAGAACGTTACAAAAACTAATTTTTTGTAGAATGTTACAAAAAATAATTTATTACAACTAATTAAACCAAAAATTATATGCCTTCACCATTTTTTCAAATTATCTAGATTGCTGATCTATTAGGATAGTTACCAACGAGATGTCTCTTTGAATTCAAGTTTAACATTTCTCCAAATGAGTATTGAAACAATGAATGCAAAATTCCAAAGGTTTCAATTAGTGCAAAACAATGAGCGTGAAATTTCTGATACTCCCCTATTGCAAGTCATAGATAAGTCAATAACATAAAAAAGTGGACTATCAAATTACCTCCAGCATTGCTGATTGGAAAAAGAGGTAAAGATTAGATGGTTCTAAAATGTGAAAGGAGGCAGTAAAGTCTTCAGCATAGGATGTTTTGCAGTCACTTTCACCGCGAGCACACTGATGAGAAACTGACTTCTCAAAGTTAAATGCACTTTTCCCCTTTGTCACAAGTGAATTTGGTAAACTCAATTGTCTGAGTATCCTTAACAGAATGAGACCTTTCTCCAGAAAAAGATTTTGTTGGGCTGCAAGCAGAATCAACAGTACTATGCAACATCTCAACAGCAAATTCACTATTTCAGCGGCGTCCAACAAATCCGAGTGGGAGCTAACTTCTTCGAAATTCTTACTTGCAAGGTTTTCACATAAAGCTAAGAAGTGCTTATACCTCTCAGTTATCTCTTTAAATAGTACATCAGAGAGTCTACATAAATCTCCGAATGCCACTTTGATCCCTTCATTGTAAATTTCCAGGTCATATTCATTCAAACCAACTGCACATTTGACACTCCATTGTGGGTTTGAAGACAAATGAACAAGCAGAAGATACAAACTCTTCAAGACCGGTGGTTTTATGCCCTGAAATATCGAGTCCTCTTCTATATAATATAACAAATAAGAAAATAAATGCACCAGTATCGTCACAAAAATATAGCAAAAAATTTGCATAACCGATATCTAAAGATCAAATCAGCAAGGGGGAAGACTGAAAGATATATATATGTATCTTGTGATATCTTTTTTAGAAGTCAATGTCCTAGCATTTAACGTGGTGCTTTCAACGTAGACCAAATTGTTGCACTCTAATTAAAGTCATCTTAATGAACTCCTGCTTCAAACCCAAAGAAAAACAACAGAAACGAAAAAAAGAAAACTTAACGCCACAAAAGGACTACGACATAGCCCAAGCTCCAGTAGGGAAGCAACAACGAATCTCAGTTCGCTTCCAAAATGCAAAGTAATACTATAATGGAAACATTATTTCCTTTATCTTCTATCAAAAAATGTAAATTTACAGTCATAAAAACATAATTCCTTCCCAATTTTTTCAAAGCTCTCAACTTTTTTGGAAAAAAATAAAATAACAATAACAATAATAATAATAATAATAATAATAATAATAATAATAATAATAATAATAATAATAGTTACAGAACTAATTACCAAATGTGCCCTCGTGAAATTCTAAGTCGGCAAACAATTCATTCAAGTAATACATAAACACACAATTAAATTATAGGCAAAAAAAAAAAAAAAAGAGAGAGAAATTAGAGTTTGATTCAGAAGAATGATTGCAAATCAAAGAGAAAAATTTGAACCTGAGGGGATTGAATTGCTCTAAGGAGAGTCTCGAAAGTGCGATAATTATCAAAATTATTATCATCTTCAACTGGGATTTCGGTTTCAGCCCTTTTATTCTTGCCTCTCCTCTTCTTCGGTGAACCCATTGAAAATCCCTCTAGCCCCTAACAAAGTTCACTCTCCCTCGCTCTCTCGCACGGAGAAGACGCGTTTGCTCTATAGGACTTGGCGGGAATGCGCGTGGACATGCATTTCAGTGTGAAAATGTGAGCGAGGGATTAAAAATAAAATGAGAAGTTATTAAAGAATTAATTGATAATTTCAATTTCAAAGATTACCAAGTAATCATTAGACTTCAAAAAATTTCTCGATCATCACTCAACTTTCAAAAATTAGTTTTCGTCTGTCACTCGTCAATATTCGCTTAGAAAAAACAATCACATAGCATATAGAATTTAAATGTGACACAGATTATCGTCCAATTCTTCTAATAAGTGATGGACAAAGAGCATTTTAACATAAAATAGTTATGTTTCAACAACATTATAAAGTTAGACTGAATCCACGTGACGTG